AGCTTCATAAAGAGAGCCACAGCATTTTAGAATATGTGGAGGGTATCAGGATACAGCCAGAATCTTGTCCTCAGGAACCTGCACATATGCATATCTTCATATGGAAAACCTCGAAGGTTCTGAAAGACTGCATGACAGGCAGCCTCTTGGATACATGCTGACATTATTCTGTTAGTTACAGACAGAATTTAATCTCTCTTCTCCAAATAGGTAGGCCATTGGTTATTATTTGAGAAGGAATGTTGTTGCAGGACATTTTCCTCTACAGAGAGATGGAAAGAGAGACAGAGACAGAGACAACTCAGAGAGAGAGAGACAGAGACAGTCAGAGACAGACAGACCAGGACAAAAAGACCAGGAGACAGACCAGGAGAGAGACCAGGACAGACCCCACTTCCTAAAACTGTAGAAAGACAAAGCTCTTTAGCAAGCCTGATGATGTAATCATTTTTTACTTTAGTTGAATTAAACCTCACATCAAGGGTTTTTTGTTCAATCAGTCCACACCCAATAATTCTAAACCCAAATAACAGAACCCCTGAGGTGAAAGACCAATTGTGAATTTTCCAAATAATTTTAAGGTAAATTTTACAGTATGAAGATCGACTTTTTCTTCAGACTCCATAACTTATAATACAAGTCACAAATTTTGTAGTCAGTGTAGGTCACCAAACCTGTGCTGGGGTTCTTCTAGGCTTGATCAAACAAGACCTTTCACATCCTTGAAGACACATTGGAAGGTCAGCTTTGGGGTATTCTTTAAGCCAGTCTTCAATCAAAAGATTTAAAAACCTTCCTTTTCTAGCTGATTGGTGTGAACGCACAAGCAGAATGCTATGACTCCACCGTCCATGTGTCCCCACAGAGTCCACATGTGGGAGCCCTCATCTCCAGTGAGGCAAGATTTGGGGAGGTGATTAAGCCATGACGATGGAATCCTTGAAGGTATAGCGCCCTTGCAAGAAAGGAATCCTATGCCCCTTCCTCTCTGTCTGCCTCCCTCCAGAACTATGGAAAATAAATCTCTTTCAGCCCCAAATGGGACATCTACATTGTATTAGTCACTTTTCTGTTGCTGTGATAGAAACACTGACCCAAGCAATTCATAGAAGGAAGGGTTTATTTGTGCTTACGGTTCCAGGGGAATTACAGTCCATCTTGGTGGGGAGGCATGGTGGCTGGAGGTGGCTGGAGCAGGAGCAGCAGAAGCTAAGCTCACACATCATCACACAGGCACAGGAAGCAAGAGAGCGACTGGAGATCTGGAAAGGCTTAAGAACTCTCTAAGCCCACTCCCAGTGATGTGCTTCTCCAGCCTAGCCACGCCTTCTAAGACCTCCCAAAACAGCGCCACCATCTGGGGACAGAATGTCCAAACACTTGGAGCCTATGGGGGACATTTTCATTCAAACCACCACATACATTATACCCTCTCCTTCCAAAGCTCAGGGATCATTGTGACAGAAGAGGCAGAAAGATTGTATAAGCCAGAGACAGTGGATGAACTCAAAGAAACTGGTGTTATCTGGACACAACTGGGCAGTTGCACATATGAAGCACTTGTGACAGCATGCACAAGACTTGTGCAAGCCTAAGCTGGACAAACCCAGTACGGATGAAGGAGGTGGGCCAGAAGCCCCAGCCCTCCCTAGCTGAGGAGCGACTAGCAAGTGATAGCTTCTGGGGGAGGGAGAGTCAGTTTTTTTCAGGGGTGAGACACCAAGTGGGTTGACCAGGCTCTAAGGATAAACCCCTGTCCAAGAGCACTTGGGGATCACAGGTTAGACTCAATAGGCCTTTGAAAAAATAATAGAGGCTATTAAGTGGGGGGAGGAGAGTGGGGTGTGAATAAGGGGGAGGGAGTCTGAATGTTATCAAAATGCATCATATGAAATTCTCAAGGAATCAATAAAGATATTAACAAACAAATAAATCTCTATCATCTAAAACACTGCGTCTACAATATTCGTTGTACCAGTTCAACCTGATGAAGGTATAAAGCAACTCTAAAAAAGAACAAAACATCATTAGCCAAGCCAAAGAATGGTTGCGTCAAAAGTTCATGAATCACTTTTAAGATGCTCGTCTACGCATAATCTCCAAGGAAGTGGCTTGGAGAAGTGCGTTTATCAATAGGGGTAGAACATGTGGACCAGTGGTCTGTGAAAACAAGACATACACACAACAGGTGAAAGCACTCAAGCTAGGCCTGCCTGCATCTCTGTTGCGTGCTCCAAGGGCTGACCAAGGGGCACTATGGTGGTTTTATTGCTGGGAATATTCAAATATCAAACAGATTTTTTTTTCCCTCAAGCTTGGGGATGAAAGGTTATGCCTATGTAAGCACAGCTTAGGGTTTTTGGAAAATGACTGAAATGAGACTTGGAGATGTTGAAGGCCTTCGCTTTACCGGGAAAAATGAAAACAAAACCCCACAAAACAGATTCTAAGACTTTTGCTTTGGTGGAGAAAGAACAGTACAGACAGCAGCAGAGACAGAAAATGGACAGATAGATAAACTGAAACACTACTTAATGACAGCACAGCATTTGTTTTGAAAGATGTGGGGCCGGCCCCTAGAGGCAGTTTTCAAAGCAGGCATGTTGATGGTACTGGTGGAATTTAACTTGTATGGACCAGGTGGGTCCTGAAGCATAACTTGTATGGTTCTGGTGGCTTACACATCAGACCCCTCACAATAAACCATCAGACACTCAGCACAAATTTCAACAGTTTTCAATATTGGTGTTGTTGAAAATGTACAAGTATCTGAGTCTGTAACCTCATTTTCTATGTCGACACACAGGAATACAATTCGAGAATTCTGCAAATTAAGGTAAGTTTGCATAACAGTGAGGGTAGGCAAAGGTGCGGGAGTCACACAGCTTCGCTTCGCCAGGGCTAGATGTCATACTCTTGGACAATGCCCTCATATGTAAGATGGGAGTGACAGTGGGACTTGACTCACAAAGATGCTAAGTATTTGGTTGGAACAGTGCTCTGTATGACACCATCATGTACGTGTATTGTAGAACTTCACCAGGAAATGTGCCACATTTTAGAAAATCATATTGCTGATATCACTCAGGCTTCTGGTATTGAGTGGCCAATACAGCAGGTCTGTATTGGTCTCCATTTACAAATATCATGTGCATGGTTTTATACTATCCTTGTATATACACATATGTGCATATATATATATAATGTTCGTTTCACTACTTAGTAACTTGTAATGATACAGTCATGCTAACTATAGCATTTGCTTATTCAAATAATTATTTCATTATAAAAGATCTATATCTCTTTACACTTCAGCTATGAAATTGTATAGGATGATATGTATGTGTAAGAGGGTATACGTACACGGCCGGTATATTGCCTGTCACAATGCTTTTACATGTGCATGTTTTATGATTTGTAGATAGCAGTGACATTTCTTATGAAAGGGGTGATGCGTTGGGTATAGTAGGGCTAGAAGATTGTTTTAAATTACTGTGTCAACCTGTACCTTATTACATTAAACCATGCCCGCCACTGGACCTGGATTACTGTTGAGCCTAGCAATTTCCAATTATTTTGAAAAAATTCTTCTATTTCCATGTGTGTATGCATGTTTATGCGTGTGGGGGCACACATGTATGTTCATGTACACGTGCATATACATGGGTACGGAGGACAGAGCTTGACATTGGGCATCTTCCTTGATGATTCTCCGCGTTATATATTAAGACATGATCTCTTGCTGAACCCAGAGCTTGTGGATTCAGGCTAATCTAGAAAGCCAGTTTGCTCCTGAAATCCTCAATCTGCACCTCTAAAGGGCTGAAGTTACAGGCAGTTGCCACACCTGCTGGGATTTAAGTTGGTGCTGGAGAGTCAAACTCCAGTCCATACTTGTGCCACAAACTACCCACTGAGCCATCTCTCCAGGCCCATTTTGAAGAATAATTATTAATAACTATTGTTTATATACTTCAAAAGTAGAGGTTTATGAAATATTTTAGCAGCAATAATAGTTTTCAAATGTAATTTAGGGGAAAATCCCAGATATAAACATAAAGGAAAACCAAATTCTGGAGACTATAGAAGCCAGAATGTTCTCTGGACCTCCTACAGAGCTCTAAAGAAGAGTCTGGGAGATACCATGTGGTACAGTAATTTCAGATGAGCACTGCAAAGAGTTAAGTCAGAGTTGGAAATTCATTCTTCCAATGGTCATTCAATTCAGAAGTGGTATTTTCTCCATTGAAAAGGGGCCACCACCCCACTATGCCCGATGCCTCCCCACTATGCCCTCCACCGCTCTGCTATGCCCTCCAAAGCTTTTTAATCCATTAAACGGGGAGGACAATACGAAGAACCCTCTCCTAAGTGCAGGGAGAGGAAATATCCCTGTCCCACTTCCTGGGCACAGAGCCAGCTCAGGCTAACAGGAAACCGGCAGAGGCCAGCTCTCCTGCACGTAGCTCCTTCCTCACCATCAGAGACCTGTTCCCGCACTCTGCCCATATACTGCCTATGAGCATGGGATGGAACACACACACAAGTCTCTTCTCAAGCTCCTTCCTCACCATCAGAGACCTGTTCCCGCACTCTGCCCATACGCTGCCTATTAAGCACTGGATGGATCACACACACAAGCATCTTCTCTCCATGTCTGCAGAGTCCAATAGGATCCACACACTGTGTTCTGGTTTCTCAGTTTTCCCAGGGGCTGACAGAAATGGCTGAACTCAGTCATGCTAATACAAGAGGCTGCTGGGTCACTTGACACCGCGGGGAGTTGTGGGGTTGGGTGAAATGAATATTACTCTCTCAGACTGCATTTCAGGCAGGTCAGTACAGTAGTGAGGTGAAGCAAATAGCTCCAGGGGTGTGAGAGAAAATGTCGAGTTGGGGTACCAGCTCTGTCTAGGAATACAACTTGGAAAATTCCTCTTCTGTAATTCCATTTAAACATGCTTCTTCAGCTCCCCTACCACTAATTCATAAAACCCCAAAATGCTTGAGAGGTTTTATTTTGGCTTTTAATATTAGTGCCCATGCTGGCAGTGGCCACAGTGGTCCCTTGTATATCTGAAAACCCCTTGAATGCTCTTTTTCATGGGTTTCACACAAGACGCACAACAGAAGTATTTCAATTACATGTGACTAAGAGTAAGAAAAATATACAACTCTATTTAAAACACTTAAATTAACAGGATAGGACTTTCCCATTCTAGCAAAATATCATACATTCAGTTTACACAAGAGTTAATATCCAGACACACATTTTCAAAATACCTGATGCTAGTTGAAAATCAGTGACCATGAGGATACTTCTAATTAGCAAAATGTGTACAACTTGGAAAGGCTGGCGGTTCTTTTCCAGAAGACAGGCGTCAAACGGGTCAAAAATGCAAACTGACAAATGTCTTTTTACCCCTAAATCTTGCTGCTTCACTTTTCTGAATCATACTTTGGCTTTCAGCAAATCTTATAGCTTCTTTTCCCTTAGACAAAAACATACAACAGCAATGCCTCTCACAAATAACCCTATACTGCTTTGTGTGTAGTAAGCCCTATCAAACTGTGCTCATGAGTTTCTGTCTTGGCTGATCTAGAAGGAGAATTGTTATGGAAAAGGAGGGTTAAGCATGTGTAACAATTGAGCTACAGGTAGACTCATGCTCCAAAGAGCCTTACATCCATATCCCATGCCATTCTGCAGTGGAAGCTGATGCACTCACATATGGTACGTAGCATTAAGAATCAAAACAAAAATGTTTTCTCCATGGGCTTTTTCAGGTACAGAAGTTGAACCACAAACTGACACATCTGTGGAACCAAAGTCACCAATTTCAGTCCAGTCCCCACCACCCGAGAAAACAACGGTGAACAATGCCAATTCCTGACATTCACACGTCTGGGCCAAACACAACTTGCACAATATGTCCCCACGTTCCAACAACGGGAGGCAAGGAAAGCAGGCTGTGCCAGGTCCTTCCTTCTGCCCCCTACAAACAGCACCTAGGATCCCCTGGATTTGATGGCCTCCAATTATTTCAAAGTTCCAGGAATGGCAATATACAACTTTCAAATAAAACAAGTGGAATGAAGTAAGAAGGGTGTGGAACACTGCGGAGCAGTCGACAGGGGCCGTCCACTGAGGAAGAAGGCACTTGTAGCAGGAGACAGGCAGGGGGCTGGTAGAACCATATCAATGAGTCAACAGCTTGAGGCGAGTCAGCCAGCTGACCAGCAGGGAGGGCTCAGTGGAAGATGCCTTGGCGGACGAGGCAGACTTCTTCTTGGGCCCTTCTTCTTGGAATGGAATGGTGGCACTGCTGTGTAGATCTGAGTTGATGTAGCACCTGCTTCCTCGGATATAGTCTGCACCTCGCACCAGATGCCGCTCAGCTGTGGGTCTGGAGAGGCGGTACACAGGAGAGGTACTTTCTTCGATAATGGGGGGGATCCGCTCATTACTGAAGTACCGGCAAAGGGCATCTTCCCCTGTTTTCAGATGAAACCCATAAGGCTATTTAGAGTAAGAACACACTGTCCACTGCTGCCTACAGGGCCCTCAGCCCATCTCAAGATCTAACATCCCTCTAAAAGTGGGCACCATGCCCAGTTTTCCTCACTGCAAGGCCCTGCAAATAGCCAGGACTACCTCATCGGTATGTTTGAAAACAGAAATGAAAGAGATTCATCATAAGTATTATGGTTCATCAGAAATTCCAACACTTCCCTACCCCCATGCCACCAACTCATATTCTCAATGTGTGTTCCCACAGCTGGTAGCACTGTGTTTGGAGGATGTGGAGCCTCTAGGAGGTGGGACTAGGCTGGCAGAATTGGCTCACAAGGGGTGGGCCTCCGAAGGTTATATCCACCCCTGGTCCAAGCCGACCACCATGTGAAGAGCCTTCACCTCATGCTCCTACTGCCACAGAGAGTCAGTCATAGCTTCCCAGTTATGATGGGCTAAAATCTCCTGAAACCATGAACCAAAATAAACTGTCTCCTTTAAATTGTTTTTGTCAAGTATTTTGGTCAAAGCAACACAAAAGTAACTAATAAAGAAAATTGGAACCAGAAAAGTGGGGTTATTTCTGTGACTAAATCTGACCGTGTATTTCTTAGGCCTGGAACTGGTCTGCAGGAAGAATGTGGAAGAGTTTGAAAATGTAGGCTAACAATGACCCAGGATACTGTCACCAGAACTTAATGGGTAACTTTAGTAGGAGTTCAAAGACCAGAGTGCTGATAGAAAGATCAACAGGCAAGCCTGGACTCATAAGGTTTTAGATGAGAACAAGGCTGCAGATCAGACTACACACGGCTCAGGTTACATTTTGGTAAAGAATCTGTCTACGCTCTGCCTGTGTCCTGAAACTCTGAGGGAGGGTGAATTCAAAAGTAAAAGACTAATTAAATTGGCAGAGGAAATCTCAAGGCAGTATAGCATTCAGGCAAAGGCGTGGCTGATACTTGCTGCTTGTGACCAAGTTTATGGTAAGAATTAAGATCAAAAAGCAGAACAGAAAGATCTGAAAAAGATGCAGTTTTGTCAGGAAAGGAGTATGTTTATAGCTGCAGACCAAGTAGCTCCACATGTTAGAGATTCCCATCCCCCCACACACAAACACACAGAGAGCCATGAGCTATACACTGGGACAGTAGAAAATGTGCCTTAAGGACATTTCAAGAAGCACTGAGACCTCTCCCATCAGAGGTTCCAGGATGCAAAACTGGAAACCCATTTTAAAAACTTTCCTTTAAAAAAAGAGGGCTTCGGGACTGGTGAGATGGTTTAGCAGGTAAGGTCACTTGCTGCCAAACCTGATGATCCGAGTTCAATCCCTGAAACACACATGGTGGAAGGAGGTGACTGACTCCTGCAAGATATCCTCTGACCTCAACTTCAACATGTACTCTGTGGCACATACAAAAATAATGAATAAAAAAATAAACAAACAAAATTTTTAAAAAAGAAAGACAGCTTCTAGAGTATCCTGCTGGAAAGGCACTGCCCAGGATAGTACTTTCCCAGAATCAACCATGCAAGTACCCAGAGGCTGCTGCCACTGTGGTCCAACAAGAACAAGATGCTTCTCCAGCTGGCAAAAGTACTCATTGTTGCCCGGATCATACTGGTTTTGCAGACAAACAGAATGCATGTGTTATGGGGTCATGAAGGTTTGTGCAGAGACTTTTGAGAAGAGTTTGTGAGGTTGGGCAATGCACAGCAGAATAAGATTCCTTGCAGGGAGTCCCTGAAAAGTCAATGCATGAAGCTTTGAAGGTGGAGCCTAAGTTGCAGTGGAGAACAGAGGATGTTGGAAATGACAAAAATGGGAGCCATCTTCCAAAAAACTGTGCAGGCACCAAGTGGAACTGTCCCAAGACGGAAGCCACATGCCCTACAATCAGCAGGGAAGGGGTGGGGTGCCTGAGCCCAATGAAGCCTGCATCATGACAGCATGAGGTCCAGATGCTGGACATGGAGCTAGAAGTATTTGCTGGCTGAGTTTTAGTCTGGGAATGTTTTCTCTGTCACTGAATATTAGAAGTATGTAACTTTTGTTTTGATTTTACAGGGGTACAGTTAAAAGAGATATCCTTGAGTCTTAAAAGACTTTGAACTTCTAAATAGTAGGACCTATTGATTATGGGACTTTTCAAGTTGGACTAGCTGCATTTTGTATTAGGAGATAGAAACGAGCTTTGGAGGGACTAGGATGGAATGCTGTGGTATGAGTGTGAACTGTCCCCCAGTAGCTCCTGTTCTTAGTACTGATATCCTGGCCTGTGGTGTGGCTTTGAGAGACTGTGCAACCTTTAGGAGGTGGGACCTGGCTGGCAGAAGCAGGTCACTAGGGTGGGCTTCTGAAGATCACAGACCAGCTCCTTATTGGAGAAGCTGCTTTCTGATCTGCCACCATGAAGCCAGCTCCTACTGCATGTTCCTACTGCCGTGATCAGAGCTCACTCTGCCATGCATTCCCTGCTAGGATGGACTGCACCACCCTGAAACTGTGACCCAAATAAATCTTTCTGTCTCTGCTTCACTGCTGTGGGCCTGCAGCATATAACCTGCACCAGAGCACCTCCTTCAGGAGCACCTCCTTCAGGAGCACTTCCCCCCAGGAGCATGTAGGGAGGTAATAAACCTCAGTCGCCATCCCAAATAAAGGAAAGCTAGGAGTCACTGTCAATGGACAGGATGCCAATGACTTACATGCCCTGAAATGCTTTGGACATTTCTTAAAACAAAGAAGGATCCTGCCCTAATTGCCAGCACACCTCCTGGGACAGAGGAAATATTCTAAGAAACTGAACAAATATTTCCAATGCAGGATATGTTGGCAGCAAGCAGCCTTTCTTGGCAACTCTACTCCCCAAAATGCTCCCAGATTTATGTATAAGGATGCTTACAGAAGCATTAATAAGTGGGAGAAAATGGAAATAAATATCCATCAATAGAAAACTGAACAGATGTGCTCCAGTCAAGGGATGCAACACTACTGCAGCAATAGCAAAAAATTACATGTTCTAGTAAGATTCATTTTCTATACTGCTGAATGTCTATTTCTTCCATTTTCTCCATTTTTTTCAAATTATATACACACAAATATAGGAACAACTGGAAGACATTCAAAATATTTACAGGGTTGTTTCTCAGTTGGGAAAATGAATTCCAGCTGAGTTTTACTTTCTTACACCTTCTAGATGTTTTTCTGTGTACTTGTTTGACTTCTATGATCAAAAGGAAAAGCCAGTTTTTAAAAGTTCCCATTGGGCTGGGGATGTGGCTCAACTTATAGACTGTGTGCCTAGCACGCACAGAGCTCCAGGTGCAATCCCAGCACCGCAGAAACCGACTGGACATGGTAGCACATGCCTGTAACCCCAGCACTGGGGAGGTAGAAGCAAGACAGACAACCAGAAGTTCAAGGTCAGCCTCGACCACACTGCGAAGTGAGTTTGAGGACAGCCTGGGATACATAAGCTCTTGCCTCAAAAAGGGGAAAAAAAAAAAAAAAAGTGCCCATTGCTAAAAACGTCACATACTGTATGAGTTTATTTACATGAAATCCACAAACTAGGTAAAATCACAGACTGGTGAGAATGAGCGTGTGGAACTGGTAGTGAGTGCTGACAGGTACAGGGTCTCTGCGCAGTAATGAAATGTTCTGGATTTAAACTATATTGATGATGTTTAATTCAGAACAGATGAACACCACCACATTGCATACTTGCAGAGTATGAGGAGTTCTCTCCCAGTAACACTGCTGTTTTTAAGTGGTCATGTGTAGACGTGTATCATTAATTCTAAAGCTGTCATGGAAGAAATGCAGATGGAGGAAAGAAGGGGGAAATATTTTTCCCATTTCCCACTCTCACACTTCCCAGCTTGTAGCCTTCGTCTCTCAGTACACAAACTGGAGGACGGGCTGCATCCCTGCTCCTGAAATAGCAATCAAGATGCTATTCTAAACAAGGCCAGCCTGCCACCTGCTGACTACTGCACAGATTTTCGTGAGTACATCTGGAACCACAAACTGGTGGGCATCCTACCCCTTTGTTATGTTAGCATAAGGCAGCTGATCCAGGTACACGGCCGACAAACTTCACCAAACCCCTACATGTCGGGAGTTAGTCATGTGGAAGTTTAAGCCTGTAGAATTTATTTTCTTTTATTTTTACTGTCCAAAGCCCATCTTATTCTACTTGTTCTTTGCTTCAACATTACAAAAGCAATGTTATAATGTTCTACCAATGCTGATGAATCATAGACCATCTGGCAAAAATAAATAAAAGTATTTTTAAGCAATCCCCTGAAGACTGGTGCAGTAACTAGTAACTGATTACAGAGTGAAACAGTTTAAAAATTTTAATTTTTTTACATTTAACTTTAACATTTAAAATTATTTTAATTTTATGTGTATGAGTATATTGCCTGCATGTATATAAACATACCCTTGTACAATGCCCATGGAGGCCAGAAAAAGGTATCAGATCCCCTAGCACTCGAATTATGGACAGTTGTTAGCTGCAATGTGGGTGTTGGGATTTGAACCTGGGTCCTCTACAAGAGCAGCCAGTACTCTTAACCACTGAGTCATCTCTCCAGCTCCTAAACACATTTTTTTCAGATAATTATGTTTCAACAGTAGTCAGAAAATTGAGGGTAAGCTTGCTTAGTGAAAATTCTTCTTTTATTTGTTTAAAAAAGTAGACTATTTATGTCTAGAGCCTTTTTAGAAGCCACAACACTAACTGGATTTATAGTCACTAGAAATAAGTAGGATCTTAGCAACCTTCAACAGGTCTAATATGACAGATGACAAGCTGGGCTTCAGAAAAGTTAAGTATTGTCTCTAGTTAATCATAATGCCTTTAGGAATAGAGTGGGCTGGGCCTGGGACCTCTGACATGGTTCAGTGCTTTGAGTCTACTTAGATGAAACATACCTTTCCTCCCATGACCTCGAGGTCTGGCAAAAGGGTCAACAATCCCCATCCAGTTCCCATCTGCAGGCATGGACAGAGGCCGGGGCTTGCCTTCAGAGAGACCAGAAGGAAAACTGCAAAGTTAGCGACATTTGTAACTTTACACAATCTTTCCCTTCACTTGTAACCTTGGTCCCACAATAACAAGCCCACTTATGTAGAAGCAGTAACAAACTTTAAAGCACCACCTTGCCTGAGCAAGCAAATGGGGGCCTGCTAAACTAAGTCTTTGAGTCTCCAACCCCAAAACGAAAACCCAGGCAGCAAAAGCTAAACTGTAACGTGAGCTCACACAGCTGGGCTTTGATGCCAGCAGAATAATGACTCAACAGGGCTCTGCTTTAGCGAGATGAATAAAGGTCTCATACTTAGAATTTCATTGAGGTTTAGTTTTCCTCGGATTACCTTTAGAGTCTGCCAAGTTCATGCTAGAGTTCCAAATAAGGACAGGGGAGGGAAGAGAAGTCAAAGAAAGAGAAGAGCAGGGCAAACAGGCCCTTACCATAAGATGCTGTTTTCTCTCTCATTTTGGGGGGTGGAATGTTGGTTTCCACCGAATAGCCCAGCAACTGATCGGAATCAGCAATGGTAAATCTGCGTCTCTGGCTCTCCTGGTCCAGGAAGGAGTTCGGGGACTCAGATCCCTTGCGTCCAGGCAGGGGCTGTTTACCCTTACTGAGCGCTCCGTAGACAACACTCCCGTTCTCATTCCTGGAAGATAAGGTGTGATAATCAGAGCTCACAGATAGTCTCTCTTGCAGAAGAATGAGAGACAGAAGTCTTGCTACGACCAGCACACTTGACACTCAGTCCTTGCCCACTGGAGGAAAAGCATTACTTTACTGAATTCCAGGTACCCCTTCAACTACAGACAGACCCTGTTAAAGAACAAACACCATAAACCTGTTAAATCAGAGTAAACACAGGCTTTTGTTCATGTATGTCTGCACAGCACAAATACACTTTTGAAAGCCCACCTCCAGTTTTCCCATGTACCCTGTAGTTGATTCTCCACAAGAATCATAAGCTGAGGCATGCACTATTCCTCATATCAAGAGTATGATCACTACTACCCTCATGTAGTTTTGAGAGTGTCATGGTGTATATGTGTGTGTGCATCTGTGTGTTTATTTATTTAATGTGTATGAATGTTTTACCTGCACATATGTATGTGCACCACATTTGTGTAATGCCCCCAGAGGCCAGAAGAGGGCATTGAATCCCCTAGAACTGGAGTTATAGACAGTTGTTAGCTCCGATGTGGGTGCTGGGAACTGAACTTCAGTCCTCTGCAAGCACAGCCAGTGCTCTTAACACTGACCCTTCTCTCCATCCCCACAAAGAAAACCCTTGATGTGGAATGAAGATGTTACATTTGAAAATTCTTCTAAAAGATACAAAGAGTGCTATTCAGTCACCAGAGGAGAGGGACTATTTCTGAAATCAGTACAGAAACTGGGAAAGGCTGGATGGCCAATTCAATCCTAATCCTACCGAAATGTCAGTTTATAGCAGAACTTAAGTTTTTAGCTGGGCCCAATTTACTAGATACTTCATTGTTTCTCTTTGCTTTTGGCAAATGTTATTAGATAATCAGTCCAATCAAACACTCCTGGGTACAATACAGAACGAAGTTAAGTCATGAAGCCTGTGTGTGGCATTCCCAGGTAACCTGCTGCCTGCTCCCCTCTTCCCCAGGATCTATCTCCTACACCTTGAGTCTTTTCCTTTATGAGTATTTCACCTGATGTACGTATGTACACCCAGACACGCAATGCCTGTGGAAGCCAGAAGAGGGCATAACATCCCCTGGAACTGGAGTTGCTGATGGTTGCCATGTGGGTGCTGGGAACTGAATGCAGGTCCTCTGCAAGAGAAGCCAGTGCTCTAAACCACTGGGCCATCTCTCCAGCCCCCTCCTACACCTTTAAACTCACTCTATAATCTCCATAGTCATAAAGCTTTAGTGACTCATGACTTGTTTCTCTAAATACACTGGCATTTTCCTTACCTCACAGAATAGCCTTCTCTGGTGGTCTATGGGTATATGTACACGCATTTGTTACCTTTAGATAGATTTTAAAGCCCTAGCTCCTCTTCTTCCTATGGACATAGCTCCTTTCTAGGCAGTACTTTTGTGAGGTTTCACTGAGGCCCCGAGAAGACTTAGGGTGAAGGAAGAGGATCTTCCTGCAGATTCTGATACAAGTATCCACACCTACGTCTATGAGATTCTGGACTCTCCATGAGCAGAGGCAACATCATCTACACCTTAAATGCACTTCAAATCTGTGGCCACAGCACCCTGGGCTGTGACTCGGGGAAAAGGCCCACCTGTTACAAGGTGACTCTGATCACTCACTAGAAGTAAACATGCTGTCATTCATTCTGAACAAATTAAGGAAAACCACAGGAAGTCTCTGTCCCCAGGCAAGAAACACAAAATTCGGGTAAGTGAAAATAAACGAACAGGAAAGCATTCACTACAATAAAATGCATCCTAAACTAGTCTTATGAAATATAAGACTTTTTTTTCAATTTGTGTTTGAATGGGTATTGCAACATTGGCAGGTCTCTGGGAACAGGACCAAATCTGTGTCCCGTCAAGTGGTGACCTGGCCCCTCAGCAGTAATATGTATTCTGAATCCTCTAGCGTTGTTGGCATATGTCATTGCATGAGCCCACATGAGCAGGCCTGGAGTATACACCTCAGTCACCATGGTCCCCTTTGTGTCCACTCGCATTACAGTTCAGACACAAAGCAAACATTGACGATGCATGTGCACACACACCACACACACATTTCAAGGCCCTACTACCCTCATGTAGTTTTGAGAGTGTCATGGTGTATATGTGTGTGTGTGCATCTGTGTGTATGCATGTATATGTGCACATGTATGTGTATTGTGTACATATGTGTGCATATGTGAGTACATATGTATATGTGTGCACATATATATCCTTCCCAGTAAAATCAGGCTATAACTTTAATGACTCTCACAAATACACTTCTTCCCCACAGATTAATTTATCATAGAGTTAATGTAACTTAAGCTGAAGAGATCACAAACAGCCCTTTCCAAGACCCCAGAAGCAGAGTTTCCTAGATTTTTCACAAGTAAGATATTTAAATATTCTTTTATTTTGTTTTACTTTATTTTATTTTTTGGTCTTTTTGAGACAAGGTCTCCCCAGCTGGCCTGGAACTTGCTATGTAGACCAGGCTGGCCTCAAACTCAGAAATTTGCCTGCCTCTGCCTTCCAAGTGCTGGGATTAAAGGTGTGTGCCACCATGCTCAGCTTAAATATTGTTTTCTTAAACCGTCCCTCATCACCAAACTGTGTAGCTTCAGATGCCATGAAGTAAGACCGCGCACTACACTTCCCACACAGTGATTCAGATCACTCTTTTAAAGCGGCTTCTGGGTTCAGCTTGCCACACAGCAGTGGCATCTACCCACACAGAGACAACCACTCCATTCCATGAAATGGGCTGACATACCGGGGAGAGTAGGGAACAGCAGGTGGGGGCGGAATGTACAGGTCCAGGATGGCTGGCTTCTCCTTCTTCAGGGACGTATCCATGGTGCTTTCTGGGGACTGGGTTGTAGTGGGAGGGGGTGAGGTCTGCAACAAGAGCCACAAGGGGAGCAAAATGTAGATGTCAGCTTGGAGATTATCATGGTATACTTCCCCGACTCCAAATCAAGCCCAGTCCTGTGTACATGCAGAGCCGAGCTCACCACAGGCTCACCACTCCCAACGGGACTCAACCCCCATGTTTCTAAGAGACACAATTCACGCAGGGCTTTCAGAAGCCAGAGGAGAGTCACAACTCTAGTTCTGGGAAAACCACTTAAAAACCCATGCCTCAGTTCCTCCTCTGTAAAACGGTGACACTAAATACTAATGGCAGAGAGCTGTAGCAAGAGCAGAAATAGTTCAAGGTCACTTAGCAACGCTACTGCCGACTAGGAGCATAGCCTTGGAACTCTGTCTGGGTGTGATCCTGGCTGCTACTGCCAACTAGGAGCATAGCCTTGGAACTCTGTCTGGGTGTGATCCTGGCTGCTACTGCCAACTAGGAGCATAGCCTTGGAACTCTGTCTGGGTGTGATCCTGGCTGCTACTGCCGACTAGGAGCATAGCCTTGGAACTCTGTCTGGGTGTGATCCTGGCTACTACTGCCGACTAGGGGCATAGCCTTGGAACTCTGTCTGGGTGTGATCCTGGCTGCTACTGCCGACTAGGAGCATAGCCTTGGAACTCTGTCTGGGTGTAATCCTGGCTCTCCTGATTAGCTGTGTGTTGCTCAGTCACTCAACCTCTCTGTGCCTCGTCTATAGGATGGGAACCAACCAAAAGAAGAACAGTACTCGACTGGGCAGCTGTAGAAACTGAGGTAGCCCGTGTGAAGGACTAGGACATGCTTGACACATACTAAGTACACAACATACCATTTAACTTAGCAATTCATGCCCATAGTGCAAAGAATTAATGTTAAATTTTTACATCTGCGGTTGGAAAGATGGCACAGTAGTTAAGAACACTTGCTGCTCTTGCATGGGAAACAGGTTCGGTTCCCAGCAACCATGTCGCAGTTCACAACTAAATGTAACTCCAGTTCCATGGGAGCCAACTCCCACTTCTGGCCTCCACAGGTACCACACATGCACATGGTACATATACACACAGAGACAAATGCTCATACACATAAAAATAATCTTAAGAAAAACATTTAAATACATACTGTAATTTTAAATTATACTACTGATCTTTAAAATCTGTGAGGCCTTCAATCATAGCTCTTCTATCATATAATATTGAACATTTCTCTCTTGCTGATAAAGGACCAGCCAGGAAACCTCAGAGTTGGAATAGGAACCATTTAGTAAAGGCCAGCAAGACGATGCAAGATCCTGGGAAGAGGAAAAGCCACCTTTCTGCTCCAGGTCATGGTGGAAACAGTAGGTTCAAGAGCTAGGAAGGACTCTACATCCAGTATAGAAAGCTCTAGAAGTGGCCACCAGGAGATTCAGAGTGGCAGCTACATTTAGGAGGAAAACAGGCTATAGTGAGAGGGGTACTCTCTGGTCTCCATTTGTATAACCTCCCCCGACCAATTCAGTTCAATATGGAATTCACTGACGTCTAAGACCAGTTCAGCATACAATTCATTGCCTTCCCAACAAGTAATTTTAGTTCATATATGAAGACACGGCGCCAGGATCCAGACCCTCAAAACACTGGAAGCAGAAGTATTTTGGAACACTCCCACAAGAGATCCCCCGCCCCCAATTCCAAATTATAAATGGAAAAACCCTCATTTACCAGGATTGTAGCCTAGAAACAGAACGAGTACTGTCTCTGTGACAGGACAACACTAAAGGTGTTGAAAAGAACTAAAGAGCTTCCCTCCCAGGAATGGTGGGCACCCAGGCATGATGGAGGAAGAGAAACACACACAGCCAGGAGCTGAAGAGGCCAACGGCCTTGTCTACCAGAGTCTGTATTCAGAAACCAGCCTGGACATATCACAAGAGCACTCGGCAGCCGAGCCGCTCAACGGCTTCTTCATCTTCACAGTGGTTACTTCCCTGGGTCAGAAGCAAAATTAGGTATCGCCATCTCTCCCCATCTCTCATGCTCAAACAGCACAGACAAAACCAGAGAAGTGTGCCCCTTCCAAAGTGAGTTTCTAAGAATCAAGGGACGAACCAGCCTGTACCTACACTTAACTTCCCCTGTGTTCCAAACATATCCATGTGCTTCTCCTCAGTCCGCTTGCACTCAGGCTTCCTTCCAAATGGCTCCTTCCTTTCTCATTTCAATCACCACTGAGGTTTCCCAACACTTTAACACACGGCTTACTCCAAAGCCTTTTCTAATAGTCAACAGAATAATTAGGAGAATAAGGCTTAGAAAGACTAAGGCCCACAGCGGAGGCATGGCAGAGCTGGGACATGAAAGCAGGGATTCGGTTCTGAGCTGCCCTTGTGACCACCATGCAGTATTGCTTGTGGGCTCTGGCAGACCCCTTCCTTCTCCACGGTCTTCTGCGTCATTAGTCTTTCATCTGAATCACCCCATCACCAGCCTTGCTCAGGACTCCTTCACCCCACTTGTGGGCATCCACAACAGCCTTCTATCTGATGTTTCCTATGTTTAGATATTGTCATGAGCTGAACTCCGTCCCCTCAGAATTCCTATGTTGAGGTCCTAACCCCTGACCTCCACCCAGTACCTCAGAATGTAGTGGTATTTGGACATCACATCTTTAAAGAGGTGATCAAATTAAAATGAGGACATTACGGTGGGCTCAATCTAGCATGACTGTGTCCTTGTAAAACTAAGGCACAGAAACAGACAGAAAATGGACACCACACGAAGGGGGGACCACGTGAAGACAGACAAGGCAGCTGTTTCCAAGCCAGAGAGCAAGGCCTCGGGAGAGACCAGCCCTTCTGATAGCTTGACCTTGGACTTCAATCACACAGTCTGTGGTACTTTGTTATGACAACCATAGCAAAGTAACATAGATATAAAACCAGTTGTCAACCTGCCACCAGGAGTGAAGTCCACACCCCTTAGCCTGACGCTATCTCTGCCACTATACTGTCCCAGCTGAACAGACCAACTTTATCTATCATCCTTGGCTCCAGAGAGTCTAAACTCATTCCTTGTAGCAGGGGCTGCAAGGCCAACTCAGGTCCCCACACCGAGATCGCAATCCCCAGCTGCTTGGATACAATTGCCAAAAAAGTCCACAGCCTCCCCTTTTCCAGAGAATGGTCCTCGGCAAGTAACACGCCCTCTCCCAAGCAGGGCTACTAAGGCCTTTGGCTAAATTTGTCCTGTTCTGCCTTCTTCTTCCTTCCTGAAGCATCTGCCCTCAAACATCACAGGTATCATACCTTTACTTCTTAGAGGCCTTACCTAAGACACTGCCTTTTTGTCCTGTTCTGCCTTCTTCTTCCTTCCTGAAGCATCTGCCCTCAAACATCACTTTCACAGGTATCATACCTTTACTTCTTAGAGGCCTAACCTAAGACACTGCCTTTTCCTAAGGGCCGTGCATCCGAGCTTCATGCTTTGTAGATAAGTGGATTTAAAGAACAAGACACATCCTCATCTGCAAGTGCAGATTCCACCTGCCTTCCAGCTCTGAAATGTCCCACCTCACTGGTAAGAAGGGTCCTCACAGAAATACACCAGAAGAAGGTACCTGACCTACACAGTTCATACTCCCTCTCCTTCAGGACCCTCTAGTGTAGGACATGGTGATGATAGTTAACATGCTAAGAGAACAGGCTTAAATGTTCTCAGCATAAATAGTGTGTAAGGTCACGCATACAATATTTCAAAAGACTGTGCTGTACATCAAATGTACATATAGTTTGTATGCATCAATTTAAATCTTTGGAATTAAAAAATGTTATTATAAGGAACTTAAAGTATGTATCCCTCTTGCTCTACCCTCTACTTTGCTGATTTTCAACCTCCCATGCCATATAAGCTATACCTGTGGGTGTTTTTGCAATGCTGTATGTTACAAAATGCTCAAATAGAACAGCTTGAAACTACGGCCCCTTTCAACTGAAGATGCATAATAAAACCACAAGCAGTTATAAATAAAATGCAATCTCGAGACTGAGGACTTTAAAGGGCTTAAAATGGCATTACTCTACACTCTCAGCTCAGGCAATAAGGATAGATGGCTAAGGGGGGGTGGGTAGCACTGGGGTTGGAGAGGTGCCATTGAGCCCCTTAGGTTGACACAACAAGGCAGACAGTGTGTGAAGAGGATTTATGTAATAAATCTTAAGGTTGGTTTGTCTTTTATATATCACCACTGACGTAGAATAGTACCTAAGCCATGGTGTGGTACCACAGCCCACTGGGTAAACGTTCTCTGTCCCCGCCTCGGCCTTGGTAAGGCACTGCCAAGGACTCAGCCCCATGCAGGCAGTCCAACATAGTGTTCAAATTGGGTACAGTATTTAATTAAGCATTGTGCAGCTCTCACCTCACAACTCAAACATTGTCTCCTAGAAGGAGGCAGAAGGTTCACAAGATTCAGGAATTAAACAAAATATACCAGGACAAGAAGTAAACAAAACATTCAAGACTCAGGAAACTCCAGAAAGTCACAAGACTCTCCCCCATAAGCAGTAACAGTTGCTGGGAAGAGGAGACGTACTAACTGGCAAGGCTGTCTGCAGGTCATGTGGGGAGCTCCAGGGACATGGCTTTCACGGCTTGTCAGCCATGCTACGGTGGCCTTTGAGTCACCCACACTCCTGTAACAGATCCTAAAAAACTCACTGGTTCACTAAGCTAGACATGAGTGGAATCATTTCCTTAGTCTGTCATCAGTGCCCTATCTGGGACGAAAAGTCATTTGTTCAGGTGTCCCCATGAAAAGCCACAAAACATGTTGGAAAGACCTAGAAGGAGCCTTCTGCCAGGACAAGAACATGCACACCTGTATTGTGCAATATGGCATCACCAACCATAGCTGAACATTCTGCACCTGGAATGTTGCCAGTGAGATGGAGGAACTAACCTTTTAATTATTTAAAGAGTCACATACGGCTAGTGGCTACCGCACTGTTTAAGGAAGAGCTGCAGTTTACATTTTCAAACAAGCAGGATTGTAGAACAATCAGGCAAACCAACTCTAAGAACCAATCATCTTCAAGTTTTAACCTTTGTTCTTTGAGACCCTCAACACTGTTCATACATTTGTACCAGACGGAGGTCCACAATGGTCACAGATACCTGCACGAGAGGTGGCTTCCACCGAAGGTTCTTCAAGGGGGCAGGAGTGAAGTTGAAGGAGCCTGTGGGCCGCTTCTTCAGCAGCAACACAACTCCAGTGGGATTCTCTCTCAACTTTCTCACCAGGTTTTTTAGTTGCCACCCCACCTTCAAAGAAAAAAGTGGGGAAGGCATTCCCATGAAAAATGGAAACCCAAACCTGGCAATTTATCTCAAGACAGAGCTGTGAGAAAATAAGTAAATGCAAATACGTTCTTCCGAACACTATCTAAAGGAGTGGAAAACTGAATAGAAAGTGTAAACTCAAAAAAAAATGTAGGGGTTGGAGCAATAGTCCAATGGTCAAGAGCACTGGCTGTTCTTGCACAGGACTGGAGTTTGGTTCCCAGCACCCATGTTGGGTGGCTTACAACAGCCTGTAATTCCAGCTCAGGGAATGTGGAATCTGCTGACCCCTGCTGGCCTCCACAGACACTGACCTATACATGTACATACACACACACACACACACACACATATGCATTTTTTAAATGTAAACAAAGAGGCTTTACAGATATTTGAGTATTCTGAAAGCAAAATGAGATCCCAGTAAACAAACTCACCACAGTTTGTCGATTCACTTGAATGACTTCATCACCAGCGTGAATCTTTTGAGATCTGTCTGCAGGAGACTACACAGAAACAGAGATCTGGTTTAGTTGTTTAAACCTTGTCTTTCTCCCTCTAGTTCTTTCTTCTGTAGACAAGTAGCAACAGAAATAAAACTTTCCCAAGAAGAAACAAGAACAGAATATGGGCAAAACCCATGGAACCTGACACAGGAGCAGCAGACCATCTACTTTATAATGTTGGTATAGCTGATGGTCTGTCCTTTAAAACAGCTGAGTTCATACAGCCTATGAAGAGTATGGGCACATTGTTGAAATGATTCGCTGCTAAAAGCCATTGTAAAAATACTTTACATGTATCCCTATCAGAATTCACCTTGTAAAAGCAGACAAACTATCTAATGAATAAAGATCGTCTTTGTAGCTTTCACATTCCTTTTCTTATAAACTTAAATCTTACTTTTTTCTGTCTTTGTTTACATATTATCACAACACTACTAAAATAGGAAGTTAATAGAGACAGAGCATTTATTCCTTTAAAGAGAATGTTTCTGTTTGGTTTGGTTCTCTTCATTGTCAGGTCAAGTTCAAAATGAATGAATCTTCAGTATCAAGAAAATATATATATAAGGCTAGAGAGATGGCTCAGTATTAAAGAGCTTTCCATACAAGCATATATGCCCAGGACCCATAGAAAGCCAAACACAGTAGTGCACATGTCTGCCCTCCCAGTGTGCCAACAGCGAGCTAAGAGGCAGAGACAGGAGAATCTCTGAAAGGTCCAGTCCAGTGGCAAAGAAGAAACCCTCAAAAAGGCAGAAGACAAGGACTAATACCCAAGGTTGTCCTCTGACCTATACACCACACACACACACACACACACACACACACACACAAACACACACACCGTGGCATGCATGCACTTGCACCTGCAATCACACACATATATATATGTACACATAAAAACACATATCATATATGCACATATACACAGAGATTTTTTTTTGTCTTTTTGAAGCAGGGTCTCCCTGTAGCCCCAGCTGTCCTGGAACTCACTATGTAGACCAGGTTGGCCTTGAATCACAGAGATCCGCCTGCCTCTACCTCCCGAGTGCTGGGACTACAGGCGTGCGCCACCACACCAAGCTATACAGAGATTTTTTTTTTTAAGAAAAATATATTCTTTGTTTCTCCTGAATTATACACTGTTATTACTTTGCAACAACAGCAAAAAAATTGGCATGAAAGGATATAAACCGTTTGTCAAATGGGGTGCCTAGAGTATTCATATAAGTAAACCGAGAACTCTTCGTGTTTATAAAGATATGTCACATAATGAAGAAAAAAAGATAAATCTTTGATTTCTAATTAAACATTACCTAGGTCAGAGCATTTCATTTTGTTACTTCTGTGAATGGTGGGATCTTCAATTTACAGTTAGCTGAAGACAAAATAGCACCTTTGAACATAGGGAGGGCAGCAGCACAATTCAAGACTCACTCGCTGAATTCTCTCACTTAACTGCTGTGAAAGGTTCGACAAGAAATTAGCAGGCAGCACTGAACTGTAGAAACACTCCCTTTGATTTGCCTAGGCTCAGTGGAAGGCACGGGTAACTGCGCCAGTTATTTTCAAAAACATCTTACCCTTTGCCATAACAACCAGCAGAGCCTCACCCAAGACTAGCAACCTAGGGCATGCCTTTCTAGAGTTTCTTCCTCTTCAGTTACTTTTTAAAATGAATTTAACTACGCTGCTTTCTGCACCTGCCTGATGCTAAACCCACAGTTACAGCTGACCCTCGTCGGCACCATCCACTTAATCTTCATTTGAGACAAGCTTCACTTTATAAGAGATGGCTCCGAGGCCAGGAAGTCCCTGTTGATAGATACACATTCTTAAAATACACGAACTAGTGTCTTCAACTGACTTCCCTTCGGAAAGAGCTTCACATATTAACTTCTCAAATGTCCTACCGAGTGATTCAAGACTGTGGCTGGCAGAACTCTGGTCAAGAAAGAGCCTAATACCAAAATTTTCCCCAGGTTAGGAGCACTAGACTATCTTTACCATGCATCGGGCTACGGAAAGATGATGCTTATTGTGGTGTGCCCTCGGAAGGTATGACCTGAAGGACAATTCCTTCATTCATCTGAACCTCATCTCAGGGAGGAGGATGGGGACAAGAGAGGGTTGGTAAGACTCCGGAGTAAGATCTCAATTAACATCCAAAAGGAAGTCAGAGAGCACCATGGAATGATCTGACCCTGTTTGCTCAGGTCTCTTCAAAAACATGTATTGGCTTGAAATGCCAAGATGGATGGGGAGAGTTTCACAGGTTCCCACCTGAAGATGAGGAGCTACAGGCAATCAATGGATGCTGAGGGAAAGAAATCAGTTCTCTCTAGAAACCAGCTCCCTGAAAAGTTATCTAATCCCAAGTGGGCAGCCCTGAACACAGGTACATATAAGTACCAATAAATGGAATCGGTACATTCAGTGCATTAGATAGATAGAAAGATAGTTGATAG